AGTCCCAGAGGTCTCAGATGGCACATCAGCCCAGTGAGTCCTGAGGGACATAACATCCTCAGGACCGGATGTGGCCAGTGAGTGCTGGGTAGCCAGTGCTGCCCCTCCTTGGCCGAACTCTCAATCCTCACGCCTCTCCTGCTTCTATTTATTTTGTTCTGTTTTGGAGACAGAGTCCTGCTCTGTGGCCCAGGCTGGAGTACAGTGATTCAATCAGAGTTCACTGCAGTCTTGGCTTCCAGGGCTCAAGCCATCCTCCAGCCTAAGCCCCGCGAGTAGCTGGGTATGCACCATCACACCTGGCTAGTTTTGTATTTTTTGCAGAGACAGGGTCTTCCTAATGCTGCTTAGACTGGTCTCCAACTCCTGGGCTCAAGCAATCCTCCCACCTCACCTCTCAAAGTGCTGGGATTACAGGCATGAGCCACTGCACCCAGCCATTCTCCCACTTTTAAAAGAGCCTGCGTTTGAGTGGCCATTGACTTCCCTGCATGGGTGTGTTGGCTGTTTCTTCTGTCCTGAGCTACCCTGCAGGGAAGGACACTGGGCAAAAGGATGTCACTGTGACGACTTGGGAGGTAGAGGAGAGAGCTGGCAACAATGTGTTTCAAACTGATACATAACTACCAGTCCTTATGGCTCGCCCTATTAAGGACCAGCTGCTAAACTCTTAACCCAATTTTTTATTTTAATTTTTTAGAGATGGGGCTTTGCTACATTGCTCAGGCTGGCCTCGAACACCTTGGGCTGAAGTGATCCCCTCACCTCCACCTCCTGAATAGCTGGGTCTAGCATCTGGCTTCTTAGCCCAATTTCGATTAAAGTTGTGTATATTATTTTTTAGGGCTGTATATTTAAATTACCACAAAATAAGTGGTTTACAACAACACTAATTAATTATCTTACAGTTCTGCAGATCGGAGTTCCAACCCAGGTCTCACTGGGCTCAAACCAGGCTGTCAGCTGGCCCTTCCTGGAGGCACTGAGGGAGCCGGGTCCCCTGCCTGCTGCAGCTCCTGGGGGCCACCCACTTTCCCTGGCTCATGGCCCTGCCTCCACCCACAAAGCCACCAGCCCCGGCTGAGCCCTTCTCATTCGGCTGCCCCTCTCTGGTTCTCCTCTTCCACCTCCCTCTTTCCCTGTTTCACCATGTAATTACTCTTATGATTACACAGCCTGGGCAACCTGGTGAAACTCCATCTCTACAAGAAATACAAAAAGTAGCTGGGCATGGCAGCATACACCAGTTACTCAGGAGGTTGAGGCAGGAGAACTGCTTGAGCCCAGGAGGTCGAGGCTGCAGTGAGCTGTAATCATACCACTGCACTCCAGCCTGGACAATGGAGTGAGACCCTGTCCCAAAACAAAAAAAAAAAAAATTCTTGTGTTTACATTGGCTCCTACAGATAATCTAGGATAAGCTCCCTGTCTTAAAGGCAGCTGATTAGCAACCTCAATGCCACCTGCAACCATGATTCTCCTGCACCACGTGACAGAACATATTCACAGCTTCCTGGATGAGCACAAGGACATCTCAGGGAAGCCATGATTCGGCCCGGCACACTACATATGCAAGTAACAATTCCACCTTCCTCAACACGTTCTATTTGCCACTACTTGAGACCCTCTCATTTAAATCTCACCACAACACCAGTCCCACTTTATTACATGAGGAAATCAAGGCTCCAATACATCACTTTTTTTTTTTTTAAGTCTCGCTCTGTTGCCCAGGCTGAAGTGCAGTGACACGATCGCTGTTCACTGCAACCTCCGCCTCCTGGGTTCAAGTGATTCTCCCACCTCAACCTCCCAAGTAGTTGGAACTACAGGCATGTACCACCATGCCTGGCTAATTTTTGTATTTTTAATAGAGAATGGAATTTTGCTATGTTGGCCAGGCTGGTCTCAAACTCCTGACCTCAGGTGATCCACCCACCTCAGCCTCCCAAAGTGCTGGGATTACAGGCGTGAGCCACCACGCCCGGCCATAAGTCACTTTTGTTTCAGTGTTTATTTTATCTATTAACATTTTTATCATAGAAATTGTTAAATATATACAAAAATAGAGAGACTAGTCCAATGAAGCACCGTGTAGCCGCCATCCGGCTTCAGCGATTGGCAGTCCACCTTCTGCCATTCTGATCCATGTAACTCCTGCCCCACTGTTTTCTGCTTGCTTGTTTTGCTGGCATATGTTAAAGCAAATCTCAGACGTGAGCATTTACTTTTCCATGCACTCAGCACACACTGATGAAGTAACTATGCATCCAACACTGCTGCGTGCCAGGAGGCGATCACCAGGTGCTGTGTGCCCAGAGCTGGTGGCAGAACATCGACTCCTTCTTCCACATGGCCAGGCGGCTTCCTGGGGGGCTAGCTGAGTCATCCTGCATAGAGCTCACCCTTGGGTGGCCACCCTGGGGGCCAAAGGACCCTTCATAGCACTGTCCCATACATAGCCCCCAGCGTGGCACCCAGCTAGAGAAGCCAGCCTCCCTGCCCTGCCTGCTCACTGGCATACAGGAGTTCACCTGCCCTGCTCTCCCCTCCAGACCCCACCAGGCATCCCAACCTCCCCACCCAGGATGGGGCAGGGTGCAGAAAATAATCACAAGACACAATGCTGACTTTTGAAGAGCTTGGAATCAAGAGTGGTGGTTCTCAAAGTATAGCCCGGCCTGGCAGGAGGTTCCTGGATGGCCAAGAATGGGTCTCAGTGTCCCTAGTATAATGTCAAAGCATATCTGACATGGACTGACTGTGTCCCTCCAAAATTCATATGTGGACATCCTAACCCCGAAGGTGATGGTATTGAGGTGGGGCCTCTGGGAGGTGATTAGGTCATGAGGGTGGAGCCTTTGTGAACAGGATAAGTGCCCTATAAGATAGGCCCCTGGGAGCCCATTCACCACTCCCACCATGTAAGGACATGGGGATAAGACAGCTAGTTATGAACCAGAACCTGACCGTGCTGGCACCCTGATCTCCCAGCCAGAACTCAGCACTGTGAGGAATAAATGTCTGTTTTTCTTAGGCCACCTAGTTCATAGTACTTTCTTTTTTTTTTTTTTTCCTTTTGAGATGGAGTCTTGCTCTGTCACCCAAGCTGGTGTGCAGCGGTGCGATCTCAGTTCACTGAAACCTCCACCTCTCACGTTTAGCAATTCTCCCACCTCAGGCTCCCAGGTAGCTGGAATTACAGGCACGTACCACCATGCCCAGCTAGTTTTTGTATTTTTAGTAGAGACAGGGTTTTACCATGTCAGCCAGGCTGGTCTCAAACTCCTGATCTCAGGTGATCCTCCCACCTCGGCCTCCCAAAGTACTGGGATTATAGATGTGAGCCACTGTGCCCAGCCTATGCATAGTACTTTCTTATAGCAGCCTGAACGGAATAAGACCGTATCGTACCACCATAAAGCAGATACGCAGTAATTTATCCAGATCCCCTCTGATTCTTCTTTGGCACTACTTCAGTTTTCCATGGGAGAGTGGGGGTGTTTAGATGGTAGGCTGCTTGACCTTTTCAAATTAAGTGATCCCTTCAAAATGTGTGGCTCATTGTAGCTAATGCCCCAAGTTCATGAACTGTTGACTTTCACAGTAAATTAGCACAGATCCGAGGGATCCCTGCAGGATCACCAACTTCCCCCACACTGTCATGCTATTCCTGAGTGGGAAAGAAGTGACAGGTAGCATGAACTGCCCAGGGCACAGCCCTTAGCCTGGGCACAGCGACAATAAACCACCTAGTGGTTGTGGGAAAAAAGACTAAGACCCATTGATCCTGGGGGAGAGACAGACAGGAAGATGATTTGCTCAATGCCAGAAAAGAGCACTGTAAAAAGAGCCAGGCACAGTGGCTCACACCTATAATCCCAGAACTTTGGAAGGCTGAAGAACAAGGATTGCTTGAGGCCAGGAGTTCAAGACCAGCCTGGGTAACATAGTGAGACTTCATCTCTACAGACAAAAAAAAAAACAGGTTTTTTTTTTTTTTTTTTTTTAATTAGCTGTATGTGGTGGCTCACTCCTATAGTCCCAGCTACACAGGAGGCTGAGGTGAGAGGATCGCTTGAGCCCTGGAGGTCAAGTCTGCAGTGAGCCATGATCACAACACTGTACTCCAGCCTGGGTGACAGAGCTAAGACCCTGTCTCAAAAAAAAAAGAGAGAGAGAGAGAGAGAGAGAGAGAGAGAGAGAGCTGTGCAGTCTGTCAGATTGAGCACAATCCCACCTGGAGATCACCAGGAAAATTAGAAAATATTTTGAATGGAATAATAAACCCTATCATACCAAAACTTGTATTTGCAGGGATGCAACCAAAGCAGTACATAGAGGGAAATTTCTAGCCTGAAATGCCTGCATGTACCCAGGGGTTCACGACCAGCCTGGGCTGGAGAACGGAGAAAAAATTGGAAAGAAATGCACTAAGATCTATCTCAAGAAATGACAAAAAGGACAGCAAAATAAATCTAAAGCAAGCAGTACTAGAAATAAGAAAACAAATTTAATGAACTAAGATACAGAGACAATCAACAAAACCTAAAGCTGGTTCCTTGAAAAGGCTGCAAAGCGAATACATTTCTGGTGAGAATGATTGAGAAGAAAAGGGATGACAATTACTACCAGCCTGCAGGCAAACTGCGACGCTGCCTCTTGCTAGCATGTCTTTGGGCAAATTAATTAACCTCTCTAAGCCTGTTTCATCACCTAAAAATTGAGAAATAGAATATCTGCCTCACTGGCTATTGTAAGCATTAAATGAGATAGTGTGAGTGTCCAGCAGAGAATAGAAACTCCATAAGTCATACAAGTCATGATCACGGTGGTGGTAGTTATCAATATTCTAAAGTACTACAGAGGGCTGGGCATGGTGGCTCACTCCTGTAATCCCAGCACTTTGGGAGGCCGAGGCAGGCAGATCACCTGAGGTCAGAAGTTCGAGACCAGCCTGGCCAACACGGTGAAACCCCATCTCTAATAAAAATACAAAAATCGTGCTCGCTTCGGCAGCACATATACTAAAATTGGAACGATACAGAGAAGATTAGCACGGCCCCTGCTCAGGGATGACTTCTTTTAATTGCTTTAAATAAAATACATGAATAAATAAACAAAAATTAGCCAGGCGTGGTGGTGCGTGCCTGCAGTCCCAGCTACTCGGGAGGCTGAGGCACAAGAATTGCTTGAACCTGGGAGGCAGAGGTTGCAGTGAGCCTCAATCGGGCCACTGTGCTCCACCCTGGGTGACAGAGGGAGATGCCACCTTGAAAAAATAAATAAATAAAAATAAAGTGTTACGGGGAACAGGGAGGGAAGATGACTTCCTGCCTGGGGAGGTGGCAGGGATAGGTGATTTCCCAGCCTTGAAAAATGGAGAGGACTTCATAGAAGAAGAGAAAGAAGGACCATCCAGGCTGAAGGCCTAATGAGCAGGAGCGGGAGCCCTGGAGACCTGAGTTCATCCAGAGGGGAGCAGGGGCCAGCAACGAGTGCCAAGGCCCTCCTGGGCCTCTCCGAGGCAGTGCCTGACATTTGAGGCCAACGCTGAAAACATAAATGGACCTGGCCGTAGCCTTCATGCATTATGCAGTGAGGGTGAATAATGCATGACTTGGAATTTTTTTAACCATTTGGTCACAGATTTCTCTCCAGGGTGATGGAAATGCAATGGCCGTGCCCAGCCTGTCTGTAGAGTTTGCAGAATGACTTAGTTATAATAACCTCCAGGATCACAGCGAAGTTATTTTCTGCTGGAAGCAAGTGAATAAGTCTCCACCAGACCAAGTCAGCTTCCCCCAGTAGGAAGAGCTTCTCTCAGGACTGTTTCTCTTCTCAAAGGCCTCTGTCTACATGACAGGGACACACTCAGGGAAAGAGCTCTCGGTGCGTCTGGAGCCAGGTGTCAGGCTGTAAGCCTTAGCTGAGACCAGAGGCCCCTCCTCTAGGGGGAGGGAGCCATCAGGTGGCATCCTCTGCCCAGCCTGAGAGCTCCATCACTCCACAGGAAGGTCACTGGTGGGGCCGCTCTCTCAGGGAGGTGACTCTGGGTGGAAGCTTCCAGAAAAAGTGGCGCCAGAGCTGGATTAGACAGAAGGAACCTCTAATCCCCAAAAATGAGGGATGTGGAGGCCCTCAGCATGTCATGATAATAAAGACTTCAGAAAAGGTTTGCATCAGAATATGTAACTGGCAGAGTAACTTAGGACCTTGGGCTCCTCTACAAATACAGGCAATCTGGCCGGGCACTGTGGCTCATGCCTGTAATCCCAGCATTTTGGGAGGCTGAGGTAGGCAAATTACCTGAGGTTGGGAGTTTGAGACCAGCCTGACCAACAGAGAAACCCTGTCTCTACTAAAAATACAAAATTAGCCAGGCATGGTGGCACACGCCTGTAGTCCCAGCTACTTGGGAGGCTGAGGCAGGAGAATTGCTTGAACCCAGGAGGCAGAGGTTGCGGTGAGCTGAGATCACACCATTGCACTCCAGCCTGGTCAGCAAGAGTGAAACTCTGTCTCAAAAAAAAAAAAAAAAAAAAAAAAGTACAGGCAATCCCTGGCTTATGATAGTTTATCCCAGGATTTTTGACATTATGATAGTGCGAACATGATATACATTCGATAGAAACGACTTCCTTCACAGTGCTGGACGGCGGCAGAGAGATCAGCTCCCACTCCCCCACGCTGCCAATTTACAATGGGTTTATTGGAATGTAACCCTGTTGTAAGTCAAGAAGCATCTGTAGTTACAAGGCAAATACCACACAACCCAGCAACTGCATTCTTGTGTGAACATAAGTTTGCAAAGGAATCTATATACTAGTCTCCGCAGCAGCTTTCCTGTATAGCAGGCAAACCCTGGTAGCACTCAAATGTCCTCTCAAGGGTGAATGCCAGGCCAGCTGAGGCACGAGAATCGCTTGAACCTGGGAATCGGAGCTTACGGTGAGCCGAGATCACACTGTACTCCAGCCTGGGTGACAGAGTGAGACTCTGTCTCAGAAAAACGGAAACAAACAAACAAAAATGGTGAGTGCCAACACGCTGCCGCACATCCAGACCTGGAAACACCACTGAGTCATGAGAAGAGCAAATCACTGGTATAGTGCCCAGTCTGCTCCAGCTGCTGTAACAAAATACCTTAGACTGCATCATGTATAGAGTAAAAACTTATTGCTCACAGCTCTGGAGGCTGCGAAGTCCAAGATCAAGGCGCCAGCAGATTCGGTGTCTGGTGAGTGCTCCATGATTCACACACAGCAGTTGGGTGCCGGGTCCTCGCGTGGTGAAAGGGGCAGCCGCACTCCCTTCCCCTGTCTTATAAAGGCATTAATTCCATTCATGCAGTCGGAGCCCTCACGACTTAATCATTTCCCAAAGGTCCCACCTCTTGAAACTATTATATCGGGTATGAGGTTCCAACATCTGAATTTAGGAGGGCACCAATGTTCAAACCACAGCACACGGCAACCTGGATGACTCCCCAGAGAACTATGCTGACTGCAAACAGCCAATCCCCAAAGGTTACCAGTTACTTGATTCCATTTACAGACCATTCTTGTGGTAACAAAGGTATCAGGACAGAGAACAGACTGGTGATTGTCAGAGGCTGGGTAGATGATTGTGTTAGAAACTAATAGGAGGGATGGCTAGGCATGGTAGCTCACGCCTGTAATCCCAGCACTTTGGGAGGCTGAGACAGGTGGATTACCTGAGGTCAGGAGTTCGAGACCAGCCTGGCCAAGATAGTGAAACATTGTCCCCACTAAAAATGCAAAAATTAGCTAGGCATGGTGTCATTTGCCTGTAGTCCCAGCTACTTGAGAGGCTAAGGCAGGAGAATTGCTCCACCTGGAAGGTGGAGGTTGCAGTGAGCTGAAATGGTGCTGTTGCACTCCAGCCTGGGGAACAGAATCAAAGAAGGAAGGGAAGGGAGGGGAGGGGAGGGGAGGGGAGGGGAGGGGAGGGGAGGGGAGGGGAGGGGAAGGGGAGGGGAGGGGAAGGGAGGGGAGGGGAGGGGAGGGGAGGGGAGGGGAGGAGAGGGGAGGGGAAGGGAGGGGAGGGGAGGGGAAGGGAGGGGAGGGGAGGGGAGGAGAAAGCAGTGGAGGGGAGGAGATCCCTGTGGCATTGGAACTGTGGCGGGGGGTGGGGCCACAAACATGAGCAGGTGATAAAAGTGTGTGGAACTAGAGGAACATGCACAAGAATGGATGCAAAGAAAGCCAGGGAGAGCTGAGGATGTTGGATCAATGTCAATACAGTTACTGTGACATTACCCTCTGGGTCCACAAGATATCCATCTGTGGGAGAATGCGGGACAAAGCGCGCTGGATCTCTGTGTTACTCCGTACAACTGCATGGGAATCTATCATTATCTCAAAATAAAAGCTCTAACTTAAAAATAGTAATGATTTAATGTTAAGTGAAAAAGGCAGACCTCAAAACTTTATGTAACAATCAGTACTATTTTATTTTATTTTATTTATTTTGAGGCAAAGTCTCGCTCTGTCACCTAGGCTGGAGTACAATGGTGCAATGTCAGCTCACTGCAACCTTCACCTCCCAAGTTCAAGTGATTCTCCTACCTCAGCCTCCCAGGTAGCTGGGATTACAAGCGCCCAACACCACACCCAGCTAAATTTTGTTTGGTCAGGTGGGTCTCAAACTCTTGACCTCAGGTGATCCACCTGCCTCAGCCTCCCAAAGTGCTGGGATTACAGGCCTAAGCCACTGCACCGGCCCAATCAGTACTATTTTTAAGACCTCAAAATTTACACCTAATATCTACTAGAGTGAAACAACTGCCTACCCTATGATGCAGCAATTCCATTCCTAAATATACCCCCAAGAGAAACAGGTGCATATGACTACCAGAAAACGTGTACAAGAAAGTTAGTGGCAGTTTCATTCCTAATAGCCACAGTGGGAAACAATCCAAATGTCCATCAACAGTGGAATTAATAGATTGGGTTTCCCTCATAGAGTGGAATCCTTAATACGTCAATTATAAAGAAACAAACTTGTGCTGTACATGACATTCACAAATCTTCCTGACCAATATTAAGCGAAAGAAACCAGACACAGAATGTAAAGTGGTGCAACCACTGTGGGACAGTGCGGTGTTTCCTTTAAAAAAATTAGAAGTAGAATTACCATGTGATCAGGAGTTCCACTTCTGGTATATATCCGAAAGAACTGAAAACAGGGTCTTGAAGAGATATTTGTGCAAGCATGTTCACGGCAGCATTACTCACAGTGTCTAAAACTTGGGCAGAAGCTACCCCCAAGTGTCCATTGACTGATGAATGCATGAGCAACATGAATGATATCCATACTGGAATAGTATTCAGCCTAAAAAAGGAAAGAAATGCGGACATGCTACAACATGGATGAACTTTGAAGACATTATGCTAAGTGAAATAAGCTAGACGCAAAAAGACAAGTACTGTATGAACCTGCCCATAGGAGGTACCTAGAATTGTCAAATTCATAGGAACAAGGGTGGGCGGTGGCACATGCCTGTAATCCCAGCACTTTGGGAGGCTGAGGTGGGTGGATCACTTGAGGTCACATGTTTGAGACCAACCTGGTCAACATGGTGAAACGCTGTCTCTACTAAAAAATACCAAAAAAAAAAAGATCAGCTGGGAGTGGTGGTGTGTGCCTGTAATCCCAGCTACTCAGGGTGCTGAGGTAGGAGGATCGCTTGAACCTGGGAGGCAGAGGTTTCAGTAAGCTGAGATCACGCCACTGCACTCTCGCCTGGGGGACATAGTGAGACACCGTCTCAAAAACTAAAATAAATTTTTTTTTTTTAATTATATGAACAGAAGGTAGAATGGTGGTTACCGGGTCTGTGGGGAGGAGGGAATAGAGAGTGTTTAATGAGAATAGAGTTTAGTTTTACAAGATGAAAAGAGATCTAGAGATGGATGGCAGGGATGGTTATACCACATGATGAATGTGTTTAATAACGTTGAACCGTGCACTTAAAAATGGTTAAGATGATAAATTTTATGTGTATTTTAACACAATTTTTAAAATAAAAGAAAACCAGCCAGACACAAAAACCACACATAACATGGTTCATTTATATGAGGCTTAAGAACAGAGCAAACTATCCTATGGAATAGAGTGAGAATCAGGGTTTGCTGAAGAGAGTGTGAGTGAGGCTGGGCAGGGCCCGCGGCGCCCCTGGGCACTGGCATTGCTCTCCATCCTAACAGAGGCGGTGGGCGCAGAGTGTGTACATGTCTAACACTTAACTACTAACTTCAGATTTGTGCACTCTGCTGCATGTGAGTTATAGCTAAACAAACATTTTAAATAAAGAAAAACCCACCTGTGTAGATGAAGGAGTGGAAAGAGAGCCAGCAGCATGTTCACAGGGCCTGTCTAGGTATATTCAGGCATCTTTTCCTCTTCTTTCTCTTTTCCCTATTTCCAAATTTTCTGTAAAATGAGGAGGTACAGCATAAGAGAGACTTGACAGCAGCTAGCAACATTGTTTCTTCTTTTTATCATTTTTGAGTCTGACTCTGTCACCCAGGGGGAATGCTTGGTGCAGTCATAGCTCACTGCAGCCTCTAGCTCCTGGGCCTAAGTGATCCTCCTGCCTCAGCCTCCCAAATACCTGAAACCACAGGCATGTGCCACCACACACGGGTAAGTTTTAAGTTTTTTGTAGAGCTGGAGATGGGGTCTTGCTGTGTTGCCCAGGCTAGTCTGGAACTCCTGGCCTCAAGTGCTCCTTTGGCCTCCCAAAGTACTGGGATTATAGCCATGAACCACCACACCTAGCTTTTTTGTTTTTTTAAGGAAAAAATTCAGTTGTCTACAGTCATTGAGGTATTCTGAAGAGAGTGGCCCCTCAGGGAATGTTTCTTCCTCACTCTACCCCAGACGCCCTCGTGGGCTGGCTTTCGCTGAGGACACAGAGCCGGGAGGGCCCCGCCTGCCCAGGGAGCCCACAGAAGGCCCAGCTGGCGAGGGAGCTGACAGGGGGTGGCCACGGCCATTTTCCTTTGCTGACGCTGGGCCCGGGCAGCTGGCACTGAGGAGCTCTTCAGAGACTGTTTCTCCCCAAGCGCCGCTGTCTTAGCTCAGGCCACAGACAGGACATCATAAACAGCAGAAATCTACTTCTCACAGTTCTGGGGACCAGAGTCCAAACTCACGGTGCAGCCAGGACCCAGGGTCCAGCAAGGGCTCCTCCTGGGTGGGAGGCAGCCGCCTCCTCCCGGTGTCCTCAGGTGGCAGAGAGAAGGCGGCAGGCCTAAGGAGTCTCATCCTAGTGGCTCGGCACCTGCCCGTACGACCTCATTTAACCATAATGGCTGCCCCACACCGGGGGCTTGGGCTTCCACATGGGAATTGCAGGGGCCACAGTGCATCAATAGCGGAATTATACTGACTGTTCAGTCAATGGTGCCTTCACAGTCCCACCTCCAAGGCTTTGCCAGATCACGCCCCCCATGGAGCACACCCTGCACAGAACCAGCCTGATCACCACTCGGCCTCCCAGGCAGAGTTAGGCCCTAACCAACCCGTGCCAGGACAAGGGCTTCGGAGGGCAGGAATGCTGCCTTCTGCCCGGCCGGCGCAGGCCCTCGTTCTCTTCAAGTTCGCTGAACTGGGTTAGACCGAATTCTTCTGGGCAGGCCTCCAGCTGTGAGGCGTCGGGAGCCCAGAGGAGACTGTGCAGCGGGGGTACCCAGGGAGCCCCATCGCCTCTCTCCTCATTCTCCTTCTCTCCTGAGGCATGAGGGCCGATTCCAGATGAGGCTCCGCAGAGTCCGGCCCAGGGGCGGAGGGAAGAGCTACTCCCATCCGGCCACAGGCCTGACTGAGTTGGGCCTCTGCCGAGGGAGGAAGGAGAGACAGGGGTTTCAGGGGACTGGAGCTGGCTCATCCCTAGAGCCAGAGGACATGGCGGATCCAGCTGCTCCTGGGGCAACTGGCAAAGCCAGCAGAGGGGCTCAGGCTGCAAGAACAGGCTGGGCACTTGCCACTGTTGTGCATGTTGAGATGCCGCTGAGGGAGAAAGGGGACCAAGGACAGGGGAACCAAGTAACAGAGGGAGAGGAAATAAGATGGAAAGGAGAGGAGAGAAAAGAAAGAATCATCAGCTGGGCACAGTGGCTCACACCTGTAGTCCCAGCACTTTGAAAGGCTGAGGCGGGCAGATCATGAGGTCAAGAGATTGAGACCATCCTGGCCAACATGATGAAACCTCATCTCTACTAAAAATACAAAAATTAGCTGGGCATGGAGGCGAGCACCTGTAGTCCCAGTTACTAGGGAGGCTGAGGCAGAAGAATCGCTTGAACCGGGTGGCAGAGGTTGCAATGAGCCAAGATCACGCTACTGCAGTCAGGCCTGGCGACAGAGCGAGACTCCATCAAAAAAAAAAGAAGAAGAAAAAGAATCATCTTGGCCGACACTCCCGAGGGCCTGCTATGGAACTCATGCTGGGCAAGCTTCATACACGTCATTCTCACGACGATCCTTGGAGGTAGGGGCTATTCATCTCCCCATTTTGCAGATGTGGAAAACTGAGCACAGAGAGTTTAAGTCACTTATTGAAAGGCTTACAACTAGGAAGTGCTGGGCTGATTTGAACCTAGGCAGCCAGAGTCCATGCTGTCGAGTGCAATGAGAAGAGAGAAAGTCGAATGGGGGTGGGAGGAGAGAACAGACAAGGAGGAAGCTGGAGGAGATGGGCTTTTCCATTCAACAGACATTTCCTGTGTGCTGATTTACCACTGTTCCACGGAACTCAGAGGGGTGGGCATCACAGGGTGTGACCCATGTGGTCACGCTGGGCCCCTGCTCAGATGGGCCCTGAGCTCAGCTGAAGGCTTTGCTGCCACCGTCTTGAAATTCTTCATTGTTTTTCAACGAAGGGCCCCACATTTCATTTTGCAGCTGATGTGGGCAGTCCAGGGTGCAGTAACAAACAGCTCACCCAGCCCCTCCCTTCGCCGGGATTATATTCGGAGGCTGCACCAACAGACAGAAGGAAGAGGGAAGGGGCCGACCGAGCGGGAGGCGAACATTCGCTCATGTCGTGCGGAGGGCTGGGGAAAGGGCACAGATTGTCCTTGAAACTAGAAAGGCATAATTCAATTATTTTACAATTTCATTACTGGAAAAATCTATTGGCCCCAGGAGCATTCTGCTCACAAAATTGAACTAAAAACAAAAGGGTATTCGCCATCTTCCCTAAGCGCTCGTTTGAGCAGGCTTCCTATAAATCACTGACGAGCAGAGAAGGAGCGTGGCACGGGGTATCGTCCTCCGTCTGCCCACCCTGGTCCCTCTAGAGCAGCATCAGGTGGAGGCAGCGGAAGAGGCAGGGAAGCAGGCACAGCCCAGGGACCACCATGGTGCCAGCCCTGGCCTCCTTCAGTTCGTCTGACTTTCCCCAGACCCTCGACAGACAGGCAGGCCTCAGCATCCACGACTTAGAGCAGAGAAATTGCACCCCATGCAAGGTGACCCAGCAGGCTAGTTAGTAGACAGGGCAGGACTCAGCCTAAGTCTGTCTGGCTCCCACACGCATGCCCTGTTAACACACATGTCCCCCTCTCAATGCACTCATGCTAAAATGCACGCAGACCCCAAAGGAGCTGCGCTTCCTCTCATCCTTGGGCCTTGGCTAGGCCTGGACTGGCAGGGCCCCTTGGCCTGGTTTTCTAAACAAGCAGCACCTTCTCCTGAGATTTCCCAGCCTCTGGCCAGATGGGGGCACCTCACAGCTCCCTGTCCTCTATTCTTCATCCTGAGCAACACAAGGGCCAAGTTGCTGTTCATTTTGTTTGTTCCTGAGACCTCGTGTCCAGAACAGTGCCTGATGCGTAACTGACACTCAATATTTTTTAATAAGAAAGACTATTCCAGGGACATTGCTGGTCGGGAGGTGTCTGTGACTATTCGCTCCTGCCTCTGCCCGGCTGCCCTGTTCGGCTCCCTATGCCAGGGATCCTGGGGTGGCATCCGTGTCGTCCTGACCCACATGCTCAGGACAGAGGCTGCCACAGCTCCCAAATCACCCTGTTCCTTTGTTCAACGCCAGCTCTGTCTTACGGGCCACATTAGGGAGACTCTGGCACTGACCGGTGAGCACCACCTTGCCCGGCCCTGCTTACCTCAATTGACCCACATGCCCCTCTTTAGGAACAACTGCAGAGAAGCCACCAGCTGGCACAAGGGGCCGGGCTGCCCTGGAAGCAAGGCTTAGGAGGAGGGTGGGAGATGCAGACAACAGCAGCCACCAAACCCCACCTCAGCCCATGGGCCCCACCTGACTTCTCTCTCCCTTTGCGGGGCCTTGCTGGGTACTACATGGCTCTCAGGCAGAGCTGCTCGGTGTTGATACCTTATCTCATTTAATCCCCTGGCAGCCCTGAGGTGCAGAGCGGACTGTTCACCAGAGAGGAGGCTGGGCCAAGCTGCCAGCCACAGAGGAGGGGTTCGGCCTCCACCACACCCTGCCCTGCCACAGGCTCGCTGCCTGGGGTCTGTGCCTATAATGAGTGGTCAAGCCTGTGCAGGGTCCACTCCAGGTAGAGGGTCACCCGGATGCCCACTTTTCCCCTGATGAGGGCTGGGTCCCGCATCTCAAAGGAGCTTGCAGCCTGGAAGTGCCTGCGCTACTGGGGAACAAGCCCCTCATGGCCACTTCTCTCTCCTCTCCTTTTAAAGGGCGCCACCTCTCCTGGCCTCTTAATTTTGGAATAGACTTAGCTTCTTTCTGGCATCTGATTCCTAATCAAGCGTTCATTCTGCTGAGCTCTCAAAGGGCTGTGGCTGGGGAGGATGGGGGGAGCGCAGCACACAGGCCCCATGGAGTCTCCTGTGCTGCCTCTGCCGTGCCCCGCACACGGGAGCCTGTACACCCACTTCTGGCAGCAGGAAAGCAGGTTGGAGAGAAGGAGGAGGGAGGAGGGGGGAGACCCAGGCCATAAATGACCCACCTCCCAGCCAGGGCTGGTGTCTGTCCCCAGTGCCAAATGACTGCAGTCACCCTGGGGCTGAGCTCATCAGCTACCCAGGCGCCTCCTTGGTATCATTCTCTCTTGTCCCCCTCCTTTTTTGCTCTCTCTCCCAACAGGAAAACAAGGCTGACAGCACAGCCCATTCATCCCCACCCCCAGCATTCCTGACTCACCCTGAAACTGCCCCCTGGTTCCAGCGCCCACGAGCCAGGGGCCATCTGATTTCAACACAGGGCAAGATCAAAGTGACCTGGCCAAGGGACCTCTTCTCGAGGAGGGAGAACAGTGATTTCCAGGATAAGCCAGTCAACTCCCAAGTCATGATACATTATGTTCTATGTCTCCAGCCACCTGCTCAGCCTCAAAATCAAATTCCATGCCCAAAGAGGAAGTGTGAAAGGTAATTGGGAAAACTGGGAGTGGGTCATCCTGGAAGGCAGAGGTGTTTCCAGG